AATACAGAAGTCAAAAAGAAATGGTAATACCTTTCAGATTGGAAGGCACTCAAATTGTTGTTAGGATTGTCCATGAAGGAAGCAGAACGTAACTGTGGTGGTTAGCTACATTCTGTGTGTATGTAAAACCAGTGCAGCATGTAAAGCATTTTTTCAGGAACTTCAGTTCTAGTCATAAGAACGCTTTTTAAACTAACAGCTTTCTTCTGCTCAGTAGGATGTGATTTGTTGGAAGTGTATGTTGACCTGGAACCAACAAGGAGATGACTAAGTAGGAGGATAATGGTTTTAACATGCCTCTGCTTTGCCAAGGAGTATGGAAACAATAACAGATTTGTCAAGTCTGTGGGTCAGCTAGCCTTGTAGTGATAAATGATATTTCTCTATGCACGACATACTTGGTGCATTGGGTTGTTTTTTTCTAAAGCACCATTTAGGAGCTGAAATGTGAATGTGTTTTTGTCCCGGTTGCCATTTATCACCTTCATGGGCAGGCTGATACAGATCAGATGTATCCAGAATAGGTGGGAGATCTTGACTTGGTAGTGGCAGGTACATAATGTGGACTGTCTTCTTACTTGGTTAATGGTGTAATTTGATAGCCAAGACTGCATGTTTGGCAGTTGCCAAATAATTTTTGGTCCATGTACTAAAGCTCTGCAGTGGTCCTTCTGTTTCCCTCTTTTGTTTTCCCCAAGCCACAACGTTCTCCACGCCACCTCTCTGTATCATGCTGGGGTGCGTTGCATTACTCATCGTGTGCCAAACAGTCTCTTTAGGTTTCAGACAGCGTGAAGATGATTCCTGGTGTGCTTTCCTCTTTGGAAGAGAACCAACAGTTTGAAAAAGGATTATTCAATTTAATAAGAAATTAAAACTTTAGGTGCTTTTTTGCTCACGTTTAAGAGCAGAACCGTGCTCTTAGGGATTGGGGAGTAATAATCCCACAGATGAAGTCAGAGGAGCACCCTTTCCTTAGCGATGAGAGACGTGCTCACCGGTTACTTGCTCTGAGATGTGCTGGTGACCAGGTTCAAGTTTGGCTGTTTTGAGAGGTAGTCTGAACGACTTGGCAACCTCTGTCTCTCTCCCCCTTTTGGCACTTGTAAGACTGACCTAATAAATATTTTGTTGCAGTAGATATGATCTCATACCCTCTTACAAACCATGTGCAGACCAGTCACTGAAGGAAGGCCCTGTTCAGTGGAGAGTTCAAAGTGTGGGATAAGGCTCTAAGAAGGAAGCAATGATTTTCAAGTGGAGTCTTGTTTAATAATACCTGGAGGTTCACAGGGCTGGCCATCTTTGCTCTAAAAAATGAACCTCTCTCATTGCTGATCTGCTGGAGGCTTTTAGATGATCTGCTCAACTCTGTGTTAATATAGGAACAGAGGACACCAGCGACACCCTTTTTAACCCCCTACCCTTTTCTGTGTCTCACTTTTGGATCAGGGTTTTTCCTGTGGGTCTCAAGTTTTTCATGGATATAGGGAAGCACGCTGCTGTCTCTGAAATGCAGAGCTTGTGGAGTAGGTATTGTGCTAAGCACGTCTGTGCTCACTGATTGCTGCCAGGGAGAGGAGGAAGGGAAGAGATCTGGCTTGTGTTGTGCACTGCCCTGGGTATCTGTGCTCCGAACCTCTGAGCTCCCCTGGTAAAACCTCGCTGGGATCTGAGTGACTGCAGTCTCTCTTCCATGAAGTTTCAAGATGACTTACTGTTGCCATCTGCTCTTTTTGGAGCAAAGCTGCTGACTTGCCAAAACAAAATAAAAGGCAATGAATTAATAAAATCATAGAATCACAGAATGGTTAGAGTTGGAAGGGACCTTTAAATGTCATCCAGTCCAACCTCCCTGCCATGGGCAGGGACAGCTCCCACTAGATCAGGCAACTCAAAGCCCCAGCCAACCTGACCGTGAACACTTCCAGAGAGGGGGCATCCACAACTTCCCTGGGCAACCTGTGCCAGTGTCTCACCATCCTCATTGTGGGGAAAAAAAATAAATTAAAAAATTCTTCAAGTTCAGTCTAAACCTATCCTCATTGAGTTTAAAACTATTGTGCCTTGTCCTGTCACCTACAGGCCTTGGCAGAAAGTCTCTCTCTTTTTTTACATGCCCCATATAAAGACTGAGAGGCTGCTGTAAGGTCTCCCTGAAGCCTTCTCTTTTCCAGGCTAAACAACCTCAACTCTCTCAGCCTGTCCTCATAGGAGAGGTGTTCAATCCCTCTTGACCATTTTCATGGCCCTCCTCTGGACCCACCCCAGCAGGTCCATGTGTGTCTTGTACTGGGGGCCCCAAAGGTGGATGCATCATGGGGTCTTACAATAGTGGACTAGGGGGTGATGTTAATGCTAATAAAATGTTAATATTTATAACATAGGTAGTAAGTAGTTACTGTGAACAAGAAGAAATAGTGGATTGACTTTTTGACAATGGAAATTGCTGCCAGGTAGAAGGCTGCATTGCCTTTTGTGTGCAGCTGTTTACGTTTTCCTTTCTTTCAAGTTGAAACTCGAAGCTAAATTGTTCTCTGGCGTGGTCAGCATGAGCGCAGAGGTCTTGGGACAAGCTAATTCCTTTGGCTTCTCCCTCCTGCATCGCCCAAAATAATACCATAGTCTGTCTTTAAGCATCATATGCTGTTTGTTTTTTTTATTGTTCCTCCAAACATTTGTACTGGTTTGTATTCCCACCTCTGCCTTTTGATGAAGGAACTCCAGCTGAACAGTTAGTCTCCCTTCACTTGAGGTTGTGTTTTTCTGGATAGTGAATTAGAGGCTCCTTACAGTTTATTAATTTTGTTTTTAACATTATATAACCTCTGTAAGGTTATAAGTACATAAGATAAGTGTGAGTAGCATGTTCCTTTATAGCTCATTTTACAGTCCTTGGCCTATTCCGCTTCAAAATTCTTATAAGCAGCATAAGTTAGCCAAAATACACACTTCTTGTTAATGAAATCTCTTAAATAGAGTCTAATTTTCTTCCTCCTCTTGAAGTTGGTGAGAGATTAATAATAAAAGAAAATTTGTTGGTTGATAGCATCATGTGTTTGGTGCAGAAACAGGGTAACTGCCTCAGGTGTATACTGAACTCTTCATTCCTATGTGAATGTTCAACCTATTAAAAGTTAACGACGTGATTTGAACACTTATCCTGACAAGATAATTTTATAGGAGATCATTATTAACAAACTGAGGAAGTACTAAAACATGTAATGTATACATTTTAAAAAAGGTCATATTTCCTTCAGTGGGGCTGTTCTCTTTAAAGTTTTGCACTTCAGCTGAAATCAGTCTTGAAAGATTTGCAAGTGATATTCCTGGACCTAAGATTTTGTTTGAGATGGTTCTCTCTAAACATAAAAGATAATTTGACTGTTGCTAATACGGGGTTTTGAGACTAAATGGTTAAGCGTCTGTTTCCTCTCCTGACCTCTTGACTCAGGCAGCGCAACTGTAATGGGCAACAAGTCCGTAAAAAATTACCCTTTTTTTATGCTCTTAAGATCAGGAAAGACAAGTTTTCCTGTGAAGGGTAATTTAAGAGCATCCTGAGAGAATAAAACGTTGAGTGTTGATGAAAAGTAAACCTATTTCATTGTATCTGATGGAGCTGCTGCCCTAGTTTTCATTTGTCTGCAAATGTTTTCAGAGAGGTTTAACTTTCTCAAATTCATAAGATACTTCTGACTTATGTCTTGGTTTCTAGCTTGTTCTTGTGTTTTGGCAAGATCTCTGTGTCACAATTTGTAGCTTCCAATAGGCATGGGGGCCATCCAAAATAGTTTCCATTTCCCACTGAGGTACGTTCTTAGAAGAACTTTTCCAATCCAAGTAACAAACATTTATTACTTTTTTTTTTAATTGCTTAGCATGATACTTGCTTACATTTGCTGTTTTAATGTCTTTTCCTGTCTGTAAACCGAGAGCCCCAAAGGGTACATGCGTGCAGTCACTGAATTCGGTTTACATAGCTTGACGGATGTTTTGGGAAAAGCAGATTGCGTGTATGTGCTGTTTGTCACAGATGGTGGCCCAACAAGAAAAACATTGTGCTAATGCTGAAGGAAAATGAACTGAAAGTAAGGAATGAAATAGCAAAACCAGGATGGTCTTAAAGTTTAGCATCATTTTTTCCAGCCACTTTGGGGAAAGCGGTCAGTATGGCACGTGTATGCTTGGTCTCAGCAAGGGCTCTCAAGTTGCACTGTGGAGGCCACAAACAACGGGCAGGAGAAACTTCTTTGGACAGTTTTACTCCCTTGGATATAACCAGTGTCCCAATTTTAAGTCTTTAATACGTTTTTATTCAGTGAGCTTTTTGTCTTGTGAGTATATTGCTAGTCTTTGAGACTGTAAAGAAAATATCTTAGAAGATGAAAGGGTTGTGAAGCTTTAGAAAGGCAAAGTTAGGCAAAACATGGACATTTCACTCCTAATAATGTAACTTAGGTCATTTTTTATACAGGTTTGTTTCAGGAGACCAGTGCATTTTTAGAGCTCTAGTTTTGACAGCATGATTCTAGTAAAATAGTTTGAGTCCTGTGCCCATATGCGAATGCAGATCTCAACTTCTTCCCTTTCTGGCATACATAAATGAGGAGGGGGTTCATCTTCCACAGTTCAGGATTGCTTGTGGAGGAGAAGAAACAGGACTCGCTTTCCACAGTGTATTGCTGAAGACCAAGCTGATGTGCGTTGTGGACCTGCGTTTAAAGTCTGTGTGTTAAGTTCTGTCAAGGAGGGCTAAGCTGTATGGCAGACTGTTCTTTGCACTGCTGTAAATCCTAAACATCCATAAATCTTTAATCTGTGCCCTTCCCACTTCTAGCCTTCACTGGACTATTACATTGCTGAAGTCCATTCAGTAGCCTTAGATCCTGATTCAGTTTTTCTTTACCCCTTATAAAGCTTTTCTTCCAGGTTTGTTCTGCTACCAGACTCATTATATGAACGGTCAGATTAACTTGGGTCCTTTCCTTGCCTTGTAGGACTCCTCAGCGGGCAGACCTCTCCGACCAACACCAAACTGGAGAAGCTGGACCCCCAGCAGGTGCTGCAGCTGTGTCTCCGGTACCAAGATCACCTTCACCAGTGCGCAGAAGCGGTCGCCTTTGATCAGAATGCGCTCGTGAAGCGGATCAAGGAGGTACTGCCTGCAGCATGCCCACTTCTGCTGGGCATCGTCTTAGCCCCGTCCTGTGCTGTAATTCAGGTGCTTGCTGTGGGTGGCTGTGGGTCGCTTGCAGAGAAACTTGGTGGGGATGCACTTCAAGCAAAGTTTTCTGGCTTTCATTGCAGTTATTATTAGGTGGTGTGTGTATTGGTTATGCCCTGCAAGTTCTGTTGAAGAAGTAAAAGATGATTGGAATTTTTAAAGGTAACATTCCTTATTCAGGCCTCTATAGCATACATTTTATTATGCCTCATAGATAGGCTCTAATCTAAGGGAAGAAATGGTTATCTGAACATCTTATGGTTGGTGAAGGCAGTATTTCTTTCTTTTTTCCTCAATGGATTTGTAAAGCTAGACTGTGTTTTCAAAGCCCATAACGCGCTGTCCCTTTTCTGATCCGTATGGCAAAAAGATTATCCTGCGCTGCTGTTTTTACCACTAAACCATAATTTGAAAATCAATGATCTGCTTAAATATTTAATGATACTGCTGGGGAGGAAATTAATTCCTGCAATTGGATTGTCTTTTTCATGTTAACTACTGATGTTGGAAGCAGTAGGATGGCTGACATGTTTGGTTTTTGTTTGTTTTGTTTTTTTTTTAAGTCAAGGCAGAGATGCTGTTTGAGAGTGTTTTCCCACGCACTCTCAGATGTGTAGAACTGCTGAATGCTTCATATGTCAAAAGTCTGTGAGACCAAATACCATTCAATGTCAAAAGAAAAATTTTTAAACAGGTGGCTAATTTTTACTCATGCAATATAAACAATGACCTTGATTCGTTGTTGCTCCATTGGCTTAGACTTAAGAAAATCCCACATGAAAAACTGGATAATAAATTTGATTCATGGGCTGTTTTGAGAAGCTGCTGTCATCATGAAGTTGTAAGTCCAAAATAACGTGAGAGCCATTAAAAAGGCCTTTTTACTTTGGTGTATCAAGATCTGAGGCCAGCTATTACACAAGTTGTAAAGATATTTGCAGATGTTGGTGACTGAGATCACACAGTCTCAGAAATGGGATTTAATTGCCAGCCTAGTGACGGTGTACTGCATTAATCTGAGCAGATTGTAATTCTTTTGGCTGCTAAAGTGTGAGAGGGAATATCGACATGATTTAAAGTCGTGGTAGACATCACTAGTGCAATCAGCATTAGTTGGATTTGCCTTCTATAGGGCAAGTGGCAGAGTCCCTTTCAAATTAGCTCTATGATGCTTTCTTGCTGTTTGTAAGGCTTATGATTTTTTTCATGTAGAATAAGTAAGAATTTGGTACTGACATTGTCACTAGCTTCTTGATCATGGACTTCCTTCTGACAAAGTGAAGGAGAAATGGACGACTGTAACTTGGGCAATTGGGTTGGGGTTTTTTTTGGTCACCACACTTAAGTAACTTCAGATGTTTTCAATCCCTTTGCCAGATCTGGTGGGGTTTTACTGTTCATTTTCCTAATAATTTTTACATGTTTTTCTTGTATTGGTGGTTCTGCGTGTGTGTTCTGGAGGAGCCGGGTGGGACCCACTCAGCTTAAATCATTCTTTCCAAATTGTTTGGGCTCTCCTTGGTGCGCTAAATAAAAAAGTTGACAACGAGGGGTGCAGCTGAACCAGAGCAGGGTATGTCTCTCATTACAAGTGTAGACAAAGGAAATAGCATTTGGCTGCACCCATTTGTCACCAGTGATTTAGTTTTGCCATGTAGACAAAGCTTTGACCATTGCTGAAGAGTAAAACCGAAAGAGGAAAATGAAGTGTATTGTGAAAAGCAGAATGTGTGCATGAGCTGGACAGTAAGCGCTTTTATCCTCATTTTAGTAGACAATATTTCCCTTTTCCTTCTTTAGTGCTGTAAGCATTGAAATGTTTTCTTTACGATAACAAGCAACTGACGCTTTTAACTTTCCTACAAAATGTTGGTGAGCTTCACTCCCCAGTTTCCTACCGTTTGTCTCAGGTATGTTTACTTTTCAGACTGTCACTGACTGTACTCAGTGCAGTAATAGTCCTATTGTATAGTTTGCTGCAGTCTTACTGCCTGCAGTCAGGGGTTTTTCAGTCTATTCTTGACAGAGTGTCCTGGGGAAAATATCTTTTGCTCGTTGTCTGTGTAGCCAGGAAAAAAGTTCCCTGTTTTCCGGCAAAACTCAGAAGTACTGTTGCCAGTTTATTGGTTCTCGATAACTCATAATTGACCGTGGTGTTTTGCAAATTGACACACAATCTGAATTAAAATGATTCTTGACAGGAAAGGAAATAAAGTAAGGAAAACAAAAACATGACATGACGGTACTTACTGCAGATCTAAGTAGACCCATCTGTGCATTCCCTTACTATGGGGACCAAATCCGTCTTGCTTTGCTCTCCTTCCCATTTCCCAAATTTCTTTGCAGTTTATTGCCTTGATCTGTATCTGTTCCTAAACACCGAACCTGCACGGCTTCCAGGTTGCTGTGACTATTCTCTCTCAAGAAATACATTTACCTAAGAGTCTCCTTGAAGGGGAAGGAGTTGAAGAAGGAATTGAATGTAGCTGACTCAGCTGTCTCTCTTCAGCAGTTGCACCTACTTGGTCCCAAACTGTGGGTTTTGGAAGGGATTGTTATTTTAACACAATAGGCTTTGTCTTCACTGCCAAAATAATAATAATAAAAAAGGGATGTGCTTGCATCTTTTTGGGGAAAAATAACCATTATGCATTAAATATTATGTTTCATATTCATTTTTGGCAGCTGACTTGCCATCTGTTGCAATAGTGCATTAATTCCAGGACCACTGAAATATGTAGGATTCTTTTAAATGTTTGCTCCTTATCAGTTTGAAAAACAACAGAACAGCAGTTTGGGATTTATGTATGTCTTAATCCAGGGTTATGATGTCTCACAAAATTCGGCAGTTTTCAAGCAAAAAGCCTGTGTGCAGCATTTCTGGGGCAATTTGTCTACCCTTTAGTATTTTGCAGGATGAAAATTTGTAGCTTATTGGATAAATCCCCACATTGACTTCTGGGGGTATTCTGTTCAGATGGGTCTGGGAACAGGATCTAGTCTGCCTGCTGATGGTGCATTGGACCCATGTGAGCTTGTTATTTGTGCACACTAGGGAAAAGGTGCATTTTGAAGACCCGTTAGATAATGTGTTATAAACTGCAAGGGTATAAAAGGCAATTATAGCTAGTTAACAGGTTAAACTGATCTTGCTGCACCTTGGAGCTTTTACCAGTGTGTTTAATGATGGGGATAGAGCTGACAATGCACCTTACTGAGAATGGAATACTACAAATTGCAGAGGTGAACCGTGACTTGCCAAGCCAGGATAAAACCATCTCAGTCTGCCTCTTCTTGGGTGTCGTATATTTTAAAAAAGTCTCTTCAGTGCATATCTGCATGAGAACAAAGCGGCTCAGCTGCAGTGTTCTTCCTTTGCTTCTGTGGTGGGTTTCGTGTCCTAGCTGTAGACAGGAGGTCTTAACTCGCTGCATCCCACGTCCGTCTCTGCCACGACGACCCAGTAGGTCTGCGTTACAACCGGCTTGAAGTTGTGAGCAGCTCCAGCTGCCGTCGAATTTGAGAGCTGCCAAGACCGTCTGCCTCAGTTTTGTGATCTGTAAAATGGACGGTTTCTGCCAAGATGAGTTTGATCGCGCATGTCAACCAGCGCTAAATATTAGGTATGAGTGGGGGGAAAGAAGCAAATGAAGCAAGGAGAGGGCTACTTTACATTAAGCCCATATGATGGGAGAATGTCTCTTTTGGGTGGCAGGGAGGGAATTTGGAAAGTCATCTTGGAAAGTCATAGAGGATAGTGAATAACATGGAATGGGAAACAAGTGGGATAGGTAAAGGCTGGGGAGCAGAACTAAATTTTCAGAAAGGGCCCATGATTTTGTGTGCCTCCAAAATTGTATAGTTTAAAAAAACTATGAATTTTTATAGACTTTAAAAAAAAAAATTTCATGTGTTAAATGCTAAGTTCTTAAAAATCACATCCTTCAAAATACCTGAAGTATCCAAATATTACTAGTCTCACTTGAAAATTTAAGCATAGCTTCTTTCTGTAAAAGCAAAAGGGAAGCTGAAAGCCATCTAAGGTCCTTTCAAAGAATCTCTGAAAAAAAAAAAAGTCTTCAACTTTTCTTATTAGACTTCTGATGCTGGCAAAGGGGATGTGCTACTTGGAATGTCCTATATACTCTTAAAGGCAAATGTAGTTCCTAGATTAACTGTGCATGAAATGTATTAAGTGGATTATTAGGAGGGCTCTTCCACTTTGCCCTAAACCCAAATATCAGTGCAGTGTATCTGTAGCTCTTATTGCCATTGGCGACCCAGGCTAACAAGAATTTAGAAAACGGAACACTCTTTACAACAAAATGAAATTTAAAATATCTTGGTCTAAGCTGATAAATGCTTTTCCCCTACAGGGAAAAAATCAGCACCTTTTCAAGTAGTAAACATTACTTCTATATTTTTACAAATGTGATGGTGGAATATTTTAACAACTTTTGTCCAGGCAGACATTAATTTCAGTCATTGGTTTGCTGTGTAGCAAATTAGTGTATGGCTTGTTTCGTACCTGTAAATTCCTCTATGGGAATGGCTCGTTATTTTGAAGAAATATTCCACAAGATGTCTGTGTAATTTCTTTTTTCTTTAGCAGCTTGCTGCAAAAAGTAATTGTAATGGGCTTCTCTAGCGTGTAGTTAAGATGTCCAGAAATACAGCCCTTAATATTCAGCAAGTAAATAATTTTTGAAGCCACACATCTGCCTCATCATGTCTCCCAATACATTGTAGCTGTTTAAAATTATGGGTACGAGTTAAATCAATATTTTGTGTAAGCAACCATGCTAGTGCAGTTGACAAACCAACAAGAAAAGCCCTTTGATTACGAGCATTACGTACAAGGACATTTTAGCTTATCTCATGCATTTAAGACTCAAAAATTGTGATTCATTCATGTGTCATTCATGTCACCA